AAAAAAAAAAAAAAAAAAAAAAAAAATTATAATCAATATATGGAAAATATATAAAAATACCTACAGAAATAAGTTTTTTGGGTTTATAAAAATCTTCAAATGAATTAACAATTTTAGTTTCAGTATCTGAAAATTTTAATTTTATATCACTGAATTTCCATATAACAGGATTTTTTAATAATGTATCTCCAATAATCAAATCCATTGTATACAGGCCAGAAGAATGTTTGAAAGATGTAGATTTAACACCTATGTCCTGGAATGTTATTACAAATTCAAGATCAATAACATTTTTTGTTTTTGAAATTCATTTAAAAGTAATAAAATAATAAGTAAATATGTATTTATTTTTTAAAAAATAATTAAGTACAACAACACTATAAGGTGATAGTCTTTTTCCTGGAAATTATTTTATTAATTACCAATATTTGGGTAAATTAAGACTTCCATTACAGCAATATCTTTTTGAATTATCAAGGTCCATAGAAAAATGAGAATATTAATCATAGCTCTTGAAAGATATTAAAATCTACATGAATAAAAATGTGCTAAAATTGTACAACCTCAAATTTTAATAGATCCGAATATAAATTGGATTCAAAGAAATATAGAAAAAATTAAAAAATGATTAAAACAGAGTGGTTAACATTCTATTTTATACTTAGGTAAAACTAAATTTTTTGTAATGCATAATGAACTATAATGGGGGCAGAGTAGAAACCTCGGCGTGGTGCCCCTGGAAGCGACGAGATAAAATGAAGATACTCAAGAAAGACTTAATGTCTTTCTACAAAGATTTTAATCTTATCTCGTCTACTAATTCTACTAAACCCGGTCGTAGTGCAGTTCTAAAAGGCCCTTTTCAGAGCCAGCTATTACGACGATCTCAATAAACATTGAGGGATTAACGAGACAAAATGAGATAATTCTAGCACACCTATGCAAGGAAAATAAATGCGACATACTGTGCATACAAGAAACACACAGAGATAGACACCATGAAAGACCGAGAATAGAAGGAGTGTCTTGTAGCGGAAAGATCACACAGTAAACACGGGAGCGCAGTGTTTGTAAGACCCGAAATAGCAATAAAATTAACATCGTACACCGAAGAAGATGGCATTGAAATAATAAGTATAAAACTAGATAGATGCACGGTAACATCGATCTATAAACCCCCAAACCAGATATTCAATTTTAAAAAACCGAAAAACTTTAGTTCAGAGGAGACCAATATAGTAGTAGGGGATTTTAATAGCAGAAGCATAAACTGGAGCTACATAGACACAGATGAAAGTGGGGAGAGTGTAGAGAGATGGGCTAGTGCTACCAATTTAATGCTTCTGCATGATCTAAAGTTACAGTCTTCATTTCAGAGTGGGAGGTGGAGAAGAGGGTACAACTCCGATAACATTTTCATTTCGGAAAAGATTAGTAACATGAATCAAAAGAGTGTAATAGAACACATCCCAAAATCACAACACAGACCGATTATGATACAAGTAACAGCAGCGGTGAAACCCTTGGAAGTACCCTTTAGAAGAAGATACAATTTTAAAAAATCGAACTGGAGTGAATTCAAGATTTTACTGGATAAAGAAATAATAGGGATAGAACCGGACCCAAAAAATTATTTATACTTTATAAATTTAGTCAAAACAATTTCAAGAAAATGTATACCTAGAGGATGTAGAACTACATTCCTGGTTTAAGTCAAGCCACCGTAAATAAACTGCGGAACTACAATGATATATATGAATCCGATTCATTTGCAGAAGAAACCATTGCTTTGGGCGAGGAAGTTATGCAAGATATCTCAGGAGCAAAAAGAGAAGAATAGAAAAATGTAATTGAAGGAATAGATATGAAAAATAATAGAAAGCATGGCAATTACTCAGAAAACTAAATAGTGAAAAGGTAAAGCAACACGAACATATAAATGTGAAACCCAATGAAATAGCCAGACAGCTAAATTTGAATGGCAAGACAAATAACAAAAGTGCGAAAATTAAAACACAAAGATCGAAAGAAAGTGAAGTAAATCATTTCCAGGAACCTTTTAGAACTGAAGAATTAGATGAAGCTATATGTTAAATCCTAGGAAAGCAGCTGGTGTCGATGATATATTATCGGAACAGATAAAACAATTCGGGCCGAAGAAAAAAGAATGGCTTTTGGAAATGTTCAACAAAGTAGTAAGATCAAAAATAATACCCAAGGAATGGAGGAAAGCACATGTGTGTGGCTTGTTGAAACCTGGAAAGCAGCCAAACGAGGCAAAGAATTTCAGATTGGTGTCCCTGTTATGCCACTTATTTAAACTATTTGAAAGATTAGTAATAAAGCGCATATCACAAACCATAAAGACAAAGCTGATAAAACAACAGGCAGGGATTCGAGGAGGGAAATCGTGTACAGGGCAGGTTTTAAACGTTACACAGTATATAAAGGATGGTTTTGAAAAGAGCAAGATTACGGGGGCAGCTTTTGTGGATCTAAGTGCGACGTACGATACCGTAAACCATCGGTTACTGCTGAAGAAAGTTTATGACATAACTAAGGACTTTGGATTTGTAGAGCTACTGAGGTCAATGCTGAAGGACCGTAGGTTCTATGTAACGCTCCAGGGTAGAAATAGTAAATGGAGGATCCAAAAAGAAGGATTACCCCAAGGTAGTGTGATGGCACCAACACTTTTTAATGTATATACAAATGACCAGCCGATCGGAGAAGAGACTCAACATTTTGCATATGCCGATGATTTGGCCGTAATGGCACAAGGTGACAATTTTGAGATGGTTGAAAATAAGCTGGAGGGAATGTTGGAAACACTAGGACAATATTATCATAGGAATCATCTGAAGCCAAACCCGTCCAAAACTCAAGTGTACGTATTCCATCTACGTAACAAGCAGGCGAAGAGAAAAATAAAAGTAAAATGGCAAGGAGAATTTCTCGAACAATGTGACACACCAACATACTTAGGTGTGACATTAGACAGAACACTTACCTACAAGAATCATTGTGAAAAAACACAGAAAAAAGTAAACACAAGGAATGGAATAATACGAAAATTAGTAGGATCCAAATGGGGAGCGTTCCGGATACATTACGAATATCATCCATGGCACTATGTTTCTCTACGGCAGAATATGCTTGTCCAGTGTGGAGGAACTCTGTACATACTAAAAAAGTGGATGTGGCCATAAATGAAACACGCCGAATAATGACGGATGTTTGAAACATACCAAAAAAGAAAACTTATATGTGCTCAGTGGTATAGCACCACCACAAATTAGACGTGATGTCGCAACAGACATCGAAAGGACAGAGGTGCAAGCTGACCATAGTACAACATAACACCTGCAAAGTTCCGATTAAAATCTAGGAAGAGTTTTCTTAAAACAAGTAGGGTAATTGAAGGAGAAGCAGACTAGGAAAGAATAAAGCGATGGAGACAAAACATAAGGGAAAGTAACGAGTATGATACGGTAACAATAAAACCAAAAGAAGAACTACATAGAGGGAAAACTCTTCCCTGAACGGTGGGGCCCACTTTTTACTCATTTAATTTGTTCGAAATTCGACAAGACCATATTGCAGGAATGGGAGTCTATTTCACATAGTGAAGAACCAGCGGAAGTATCATATTTAATTGATTTTGTTGAGAGGCGATATAAGGTTTTAGAGGCTGTCGAAAGCACTCGTAGCATACATAATAGAACTAAATCTGTACAACCTCATTTCATTGCAAAAAGAAATTACCAAAAATTGAATTTATGGAAACGTTGGAGCAAAGAGTATCTTGGGCATTTGCAAGAGAGGGTAAAATAGGCCAAAGATAAAGGGCCTCGCTTAAATGTTGGAACGGTTGTTTTGTTGCGTGACGACAACTTGCTCCCGCTAAAATGGAGTATTGGGCGTATCGTGACCGTTCGAGAAGGAAGGGATGGTGTGGTGAGGTCGGCCTTTGTTCGAACTGTTAATGGGGAATATGAGCGCGCTGTCCGCCAATTGTGCCCTTTACCGTTTGAGGGTAATAACTCATCTCCAGAAGTTTCATCCCAGTAGGTCGTCAAAAATTGTAGATATATGTTGTTATTATCTGTTTGTTTTCAATTTATTCTGAAAATTTTAACTGTCTATGATTTATTAATATTTAATAGTACTTCTGTCTCATTTTGGTTTGATTGTTTAATTAATTTATGTATTTTTATTAAATAAGTCATTTTGAAATTTGTAATTTCAAGGCGGCCGGCGTGTTTGATCCATTTTTGTTGTTTTATTTTGTATGTTAGTATAGTATATGATAAGTGCGTTTGTCCGGTGCGTACCGATTTCTTTTTATTGTAATATAGTCGTCGAACGATGAACTCGTCATTGTAAAGAACGGCACGACGCGCACGCCAACATGTATATGTAAAATAAAGTATAATAAACTAAGCGAAAAGTGTTAAGTTTTATCGAGTTTCTTACTAAATAAATAGTTTAAAAGTAATTCGAATTTTATACAGTCTACTCTGAAAACGAAACAAGTGACATTTTTTTTTAGTCTACACGGGTATTTTTAAGTTATAGAGATCAAAATTCATATTATTGTGTTGAAGATATTTTTTTTTTTAGAATTAGAGGTAAGTCCTTTATTACAGAGGACTTTGAAATAAGTTTCTAACATAATGTTAGAAACTTATTTCATATTATATATTTGTAAAATAATACTCTGTCAAAATTAAAAATTAAAATAATCTTTTATTATAACATACCATATCAAGTTTATAGTTGTTTTGAGAGTCTAATTCTGCAACAAATACATTTTGAGATCCAGTTTTTAAATTAGTAAACCTAATAAAAGCCTGATGCACTTGAGTATTCTTTTTAGTTATGGGGTCTTTTACTGAGAAACGTATAATAATTCTTTGCATATTATCAGCTTTGAGTGGAGTACTTAACTTTTCGTTATATTTCAAGCTACACAAAAATTAATGTAATAATGTAAATACAAATAAAATATTGATATAAAAAGTTTTCTATTATCTCAAAACTTTACTTCTGAAATGTTGGTCCAGTTTGTTGGTCATTATCTGTTGTACCAACTTTAAAATCAACAATATCTAATGTTGGAGCTGCTACTTTTACTTCAAGTGGAATAGCTGTATGACCAATTAGAGGTACCTTGATAGGTTGTACAGGGCTTGCACTTATCACTAAATTGTAAATTCCAGTGGAAAGGTCCGGTTCATTGAAGTTTAACTCATAAATAGTTCTGTGATACAAAATCATTGAATTATTTATGATTAATAAGTAATTAATAGCTGCCTATACAAGGTGATTTTTTAAACACTTATCATTTGAATTCTCTTAAAATAAATTTTTTTTTTGCTTTTATTAGTTATATATGTATTTCCATTTATATCTTATAAAATATTTCTTATGTTCATCCATTATTTCTTATAGGTGTGTCAGCTTCATTTTAGCTTCGATGCGAAGCTGAGAAGGTATTAATTTTACTATAATGTGTTTTTTTTTTTGTGTGTCTGTTACCACTTTTTCTCAGCTCTCACTGAACCGATTTCTTTCAATGATACGTCAAAAGATCACAAATCATATCTAGTCAAAGACATTATCCTCAAAAATGGGGGAAACCTCCAAAAGAATTACAAATTTAAAAATCGCTAATTTTCGAGATTTTTCAATTTTTTTTACTTAAAACTACCATAACTTTTTCAAAAATGAACAAATCAATATAATTTTATTTTTTATAGATGCTTGATGTCTTTACCTATCATTTGGTATGTTTTTTTTTATAAATTTGACCCTAGACCTGCCCACAGAGGGGGATTTAAAATGACAACTTTTTCACAAAAAATTAACTTTTTCAACTTAACTTTTGAAAATGTTCGGGAAGGTCTGACACTTTTATATATATCTTAAATTAAAGCTAATATAATGTACTTTATTATGGAAAATAAAAATTTCGGACTTAATTTTGTCTTCATTGTGAAAATGGCTACTGAATGCTATTATTGTATGAAAATTCTCGATTTTATTTTTTACATTTTTAACTTTATAATGCTATAACTTAAAAGTGTATGGATCAACATAATTTTTTTATGAGAAATAATATTTTTTAATAATCCTTTTTTCATTCGACATACTTTATCTTAATCAGGATATTAATAAGGAACTAGCAGATCATGTAGCTTTTGGAATAATCCACCAATTTTTTAAAATTAAATACTGTATAATGATTTGCATTGAAGCGATTTTTTTTTTTGATAGTGATTTTAATAACTGTCAGATATCATTATACTTGATCCAACTATGCCACGTCACCACTGTACAGCGACCCCCCCTGTGCTGGGTTTTTTTTTAATTACATCTTATACATTGAAACGATACAGAGTTTCCCAAAGCTACACGTCACACTGTCAACCTACATGAAAGTGTATAGTGAATCATATGCATACGTTGACCTAAAGTTAAGGTTTGTCTTTATAACGCCTTGGGTTGTGGGTTCTAGTCCCATACCATGACTCTTTTTATCACATGATTCAATACACCTTCAATAAATAACAGTAACAGCAGTAGTTTATAAAACTAGCATATATGTATAAAAAAAAAAATGTAATGAAGCAAATGACTGGTACAGTTTTTCAGAAGTGATTAACAATTTAATAGTAAGTATGGCACAGGTGCTTCATTTTTTATCACTAGACATTTCTCGGCCTCCCTCTTCCTTTCATCTAGGTATAAAAATGTTAATAACTTCTAAAATAGTAATCCTTAAGTTGAACAGTCATTTTCGTAATTACATAATCTCCTATTTTATAAGCTAATTGATTATGTATGTTAATTGGAAAAATAATTTAACAAAAGCAAAAAAAAAAATTCACAAAAAGATGTATGTTTTATTATAAGAGAAATTCAGTGGCTAGTGTTGAGCCAATTATATATTCTGTTGAGTTTAGACATAAGTTTTTTTTCAATATCTCTACTACAAGTGCTGCCTTAGAAGAAGTGACGTAACATAACTAATTTTATAAGAATATATCATAGATGAAAAACACTATGATTTTTTGTTTTCATTAATTCTTGATAATATATATCATTTACATTTATCAGTATTAATTGTTTTTTATTATAGTTATTAAAAGACTTTACTTAAAAAAAGAAAATCAATATAATATTCTATCACAGTGTGCTATGATATAAGGACATATCTCTCAGTACATGTCTTTAATTTTGTAATGTCACTTTTCTTTTTTTAATTATTTTATCTATTACTGGTTTATTTATAGAGAACATTTTTCAAAAATTTAAATATTACTTGTCAGTAGTACTTCTGAATTTATTTTTTGACATAACAACTTTATTATTAAGCATTGCTGATTCTACGCCAACTGAGAGAGTTGTTGGAAGAGGTTCACCAAGAAGATTGGTAAATCGTACTGACAAGATTTTTTGAGTATCATCAAGTCCTCCCATAGGTTTAACAAGTGTAGTGGCAATGGGTAAATGATACTAATAAGTAAAATAAATGAATTAAAAATATATTAGTTTGTATCAAAAGTAAATTTAGTTACTTACATTATTACTTGATAAAGTTTTTAAGGCTGTTAATAAATAATGAGCTCCTTTGAGAGTTTGTACAGACTTTCGTGATAGGAAATAATTACTGAACATTAAAACTTGGTCATTTTGTAAAGGAAATGTTGGATCACACTTAACAGCATCACAAAACTTGTATATTCCAATCAAAACGAGAGCTTTACGGTCAGAAATATTGGTGTTATTAATACATATGTATTATGGTGGATCAAAAAAAAGTCCATCATTGAAATTTTAATAAGAACCCTTTTAACTTTATTATATACATTAAAATAGATATTTTGTGAAAATTTGAGATTTTTAATAATAATATTTTGTATGTTTTATTTAAATAATTTTTAACCATAAATTAATCATTCATGGTCGTTATAATATTAGGTAGGGAAAAATAACTTACATATAATTTGAATAAAATTAATTTTTAATATGAAAATAAATAATGTTCAAATTATTACTATTAAAATAAAGTAATCCTGTGACTTCACATAAGTTTGCTGATTTTACATAATTTTTAATAAAATTTATATTGATTTATAATTTTATCATAACATAAAGTTATATTCTTTCATTATTTATTATACTTAATAGAAAATAATTGTTTAATTAAAAAATTATTACTGAAAAGTATTTAATGATCAACCGTTATTTTCAAGAATATTATACATTTTAATTTACCCATTATTTATAAAAAAAGGTTTAAGTTTTTAATATTAGTGAATATGTCTATTATAATGTATATAATTAAGTTAAAAGCTGTTTCACCAGTCATGTGTACAGGTCTACCCAACGCTTATTGTGTCAACAGTGTAGGGACATCACCACTTAACTCTAGGCTGGACTTGTGTATAAGGGAAAAAGATAGAAACAAAGTAAGAATAGGTACTTGGAATGTTGGAACATTAACTGGTAGAAGTGGAAAATTAGTAGAAGTATTGAAGAGGAGAAAAGTTAACATTTGTTATGTGCAGGAAATTAAGTGGAAAGGAGAGAAATCAAGGGAAATAGGTGAGGGTTATAAAATAACATATTCAGGTAAGTCTAGTAAAAAGAATGGTGTAGGGATAATAATGGATGAGGAGATGAAAAGTAGTGTAGTAGAAGTAACTAGGAAAAGTGATAGAATTATGGTCATAAAATTGATATTTGAAGAAAAAGTGTTGAATGTAATAAGTGCCTATGCACCACAAGTAGGATGTGATGAAATAGACAAGGAAGTGTTTTGGAGAGAGATAGATGAGGTGATGCAAGGGGTACCTAGCAATGAGGATATGATGATAGGTGAAGATATGAATGGACATGTAGGTAATGAGAGGAGAGGATATGATGATAGGTGAAGATATGAATGGACATGTAGGTAATGAGAGGAGAGGATATGATGATAGGTGAAGATATGAATGGACATGTAGGTAATGAGAGGAGAGGATATGATGATAGGTGAAGATATGAATGGACATGTAGGTAATGAGAGGAGAGGATATGATGATAGGTGAAGATATGAATGGACATGTAGGTAATGAGAGGAGAGGATATGATGATAGGTGAAGATATGAATGGACATGTAGGTAATGAGAGGAGAGGATATGATGATAGGTGAAGATATGAATGGACATGTAGGTAATGAGAGGAGAGGATATGAAAGAGTACATGGAGGGTATGGTTTTAGTAGGAAGAATGAGGCTGGAGAAAGAATCTTGGATTTCACAGTATTGTATGATCTTGCTGTGGTTAATACTTATTTTACAAAGAGGGAAGAACATTATATAACTTATAAAAGTGGGAGAAATAGATTACAGATATGTGGAAGAGAAAGAGTGTAAAACGAGTAAAAGATTGTAAAGTTATATCAGACGATAGTGTAACTACACAAATTAGATGGTAATGGAGTTTGTAAAGACGGTAAAAGAGAGGACGGTGTGGAATGTCGAGGAAGACATAAATGATGTGTGATTTGGATTTGCTAGTTGTGTAAAGAATACTGCAAAGGAAATTGTTGGTGAGAGTAGGAGTAGAATGCCAGGAAACAAGGAAAATGGACGGTGAGATGAGGCATTCAAAAAATTATAGAAAGTAAGAAAAATCAAATCAAAGTATGGCAGAAGAGCAAAAGGAGAAAAGATTGGATGGAGTATAAATGCTTGTGCAAAGAAGCCAAGTGTGCAGTAAGTGAGGCGAAGTTTAAGAGGTATGATGAGTTGTATGATAGGCTAGGAACAAAGGAAGGCGAGAAAGAAATCTATAGACTTGCAAAAGTAAGAGAAAAAAGGTCTAGAGATTATCACTACGCAAGGTGTATAAAAAGTGTTGATTTAAGGGTGTTATCGAGTGATGATGTGAAAAAAAGGTGGAAAATGTATTTTGAAAAATTACTGATCAAGGATTACCCAAAAGAGACTCTAGAGGATATCGCTAGGAATGAGGGACTGGTAGATTTAATTAATGAGAAAGAGTTATGAGAGGCTGTGGCATCAATGAAAAAAAAACCCAGCACAGGGGGGTCGCGGCACAGTGGTGACGTGGCATAGTTGGATCAAGTATAATGATATCTGACAGTGATTAAAATCACTATCAAAAATAAACGCTTCGATGCAAATCTTTAGATAGTGTTTAATTTTAAAAAATTTGTGGATTATTCCAAAAGCTACATGATCTGCTAGTTNTAATTTTAAAAAAATTGGTGTTTTATTCCAAAAGCTACTTGATCTGCTGGTTCCTTATTAATATCTCGATTAAGATAAAGTATGTCAAATGAAAAAAGGTTTATTAAAAAATATTATTTCTCATAAAAAAATTGTGTGGATCCATAAACTTTTCAATAAGTTATAGCATTATAAAGTTAAATATAATATAAATAATAAAATCGAAAATTTTCACACAAAAATAGCATTCGGTAGCCGTTTTCACCATGAAGACAAGTCCAGAGGTCAAATTTTTTTTTTTCAAATTAAAGTACATTACATTAGCTTTAATTTAAGATATATATAAAAGTGTCAGACCTTCCGGAACATTTTCAAAAGTTAAGTTGAAAAAGTTAATTTTTTGTGTAAAAGTTGTCATTTTAAATCCCCCCCTGTGGGCAGAAAAAAGGTCGAATTTACAAAAAAAATATACCAACTGATAAGTAATGACATCAAGCATCTATATAAAAAAAAATTATATTGATATGTTCATTTTTGAAAAAGTTA